TTACCTCAACGAAGTCGAAGTAGCCCGCGTTGCTGGTGAGAATCAGGTACATGGTGTGCGTGAAACAGAACGCGTGTTCCGCGTTGTGGTACGGGTTGTTGCGGTAGCATCTAGTAGAGAAAATAGATTATAGGATAAGTAATAAGCACTATTTGTAGCCAACCTATAGCCCTGTGAAGCTGCAATGCCAGTCACAACAAACAACATAACTGCAGCTCAAATGGAAGTGATTGCCTGCGCCATACGGAATAAACAACAAGTAAATCAAAACTACTCCCCGAATGGAAACTTGGAACAGTTTTCAGTAGGTACTGAAACTGCAAAATACTAAAAAATTATTTAAAAATTTACTAACTCTTGTTAACTAAGGTGCTTGCAAGAAAGTATCTAAGAGAACCTTAGTATAGTCAAAGCGAAGTCTGCCAGCTGATTCCTCTCGAAGTTGCGGTCGGCGAAGGTCTCCATATACATGTAGCACACCAGCCCCGCCATCTCCTCCTTGCTGCCCTCGCTGATGTGGTAGTCGTAGCTGCCAAATACCAGAAACAAGATGTTTTCAGAAGTCACAGAGACAGATTACGGAAAAAGACAAAAATGGAGAATGCCGGAAAACGTAATAAATCGAAAGCATATTGTTAGATGGACAGTCATCATCATCATTAAGTCATTTAGCTCCCACTGCAGGAATACGACATTCGCTAATTTGGCTATATGGAGGATTTAACCTACACTCCTCACGCTCACCAAATGGGTTGGTGATAAGTTAGTAGACGCCTCTTATGGCCTCTAGAAAGAGTGAGGGTGATCTTATTCTACTCTTGATCCAGTCGAACTTGAACTAAATGCTAATTTAACGCTAGTTTTCATAAATTATTTACTTAAACTGTCATTATGCTAACGTTTTAAAATTATTTGGCGGCAAGACGATTCCGTTGGTTTCCATGAGCTCTTCGAAGTCGTGGCGACAAGGCTTCAAGTGTAGACGCATCAGCTCGTAGTAGACCTTATTCATGTTGTCCTGGATAAAATGACATATTGTTACTTTATTTACGTTAGTTAGCTAGATATCTTATTCCCTTATTCGTTCATTTGTGGATATTTGCGAGTGTTACTGAAATTGTCATGAAAATAATTGCTTTATTGATAAGAGACTAAAAAATTTGAAGTGCACTAAACTATCTCGAATGGTGTATCTTTCTTAATCTTAGTAAATTGGATCAAGAATAAACAGATAAAAATTAAACTCAGAGTCATGCTGATAACTAAATGAAGATAGCCTGTTAAATCTCGGAAAGAGAAATCTACAATGTATTTTAACCAATACTTTAAGGATATAAATTTGAAGAGAAATTGTTGTGGACATACATGGTAAATCTTCTTCTGCTGCATGTTGTAGAAGTGCACGATGAGGGAGCAGTAGCTGACGAACACGTTGAATATAATTTCGTCCTCCTCGTTGAATGGCTGCGTGTTCGTCTTGTTCGTGAGTTGGACCACGCCTGTTCAAACAATGAGCCATGAAGGTAAGTTATCCTGAATTTTCTCATGTCCTGAAATCTTTGGGATGAAGAAAGTCTTTCTTTTTGAAGTCTGTGAGTACAAACAACAAAAAGAAATCATAACCTACTGCTGCTAATATTGAATCAATACTATTAACTGAAGCTACTGTAAAATGTTTTCACGTATATCTGACGTTCTAGTTTGGAGCAGAAGCCGTTTCTAATGTACGCAGGCACGCACGCATAATTCCCTACCCATTTGCTGTTCCGCTCCAAGAACGTCGCATGATTGTAGCAATATCATTGGGTCATATAAGCATTCCTATTGCTTATTTTCTTCAGAAATCCATTCAGTGTCAAGACGATCGATATTGAATGTGTACTATACCAACCAATAACCCCGTGTTTGTCCATGATAGGCGAGACGAGACATGATCGCACCACGGTGCCTGTGGTGGGGTCGATCTCCTTACTGAACCGGGGGTCCTTGTACGCGTCCCGCACGTTCAGCGCCTTGCCAGTCCGCGCCACCAAGCCTGCTGGGGTCTGCTCTTGACTTAAGCTGAAGGAGAAACGAATCCGTGTCAAGAGATGTCTTAGTCCCTAATTACCTATAGATAGAGGATAGAGTAGTAAATCGTAGGTATCGTATCGTATCGTAAAATTCGTAGGTAATAGTAGGTATAGTAGTCGCTTTAAGTGAGAGCAACAGACTAATCCGAACGACGTTGAAAGGAACCCCAACACGCTGAACGTTGATGCAATGGTTTAAATCTTGATCTTATCAAATGGGGTCGAATCACGTGTGTTGGGACTCGTCGGGAGTCACACCGTCATTTCACACCGGGCCAAGATAATACAAGCTATCCCTATGGTAGAGACTTGGACGAATAAGATTGAAATGTTACAAGCGGTACGTACTTTATTTTAACCTTTTTCTTAGGCATAGTGGTCTTCTCAGCGGCCCAGCCATCGTCCCACATGTCAGCCTGCAGATGCTCCCCAACGTGCTCCTTGTCCACGATGAAGAAGCTGCTCCTCATGGCACCCATGAAAGATTTGACTACAGCCTGTTACGAAGCCAAAATTTTTGACTTAAGTGAAGTGACACGCATTAATTGTTCCGCTTAGTAGTCCAAAGGTTAACTGTCAGAAAATGTCAATGTCTAGGTCCTCCTTCAATAACACCATAGCAATTAGCATCAATTTCACCTTTATTGACAGGCTTTTCGATGGATCGGTACCATTTTAGTTTTTTTAAATGCCATTTGGCGGGAACTACCGACTATATTGAGTATCATAATATCATCTGATTTAATACATTTTTCCACGTAACAATTTTATAACAGAAGAATAATATTACTTTGGTACTGAATAAGATAACTTGCCAACATATCAGTAAGCATAGTGTCAATAGAGGCCAGGTCGCAGAAGTAGCTTTGCAGAAGCGAGCGCAGTTCGTTGTTCAGATGGCCTGTCTTCTGCAGCGTGATGCGGGCCTGGGCCTGGTGCACAGCGGCGCCCGCCCAGCACGCCACGCTTACCACTGTGTATACTACGGCCTGAAAGAAGGCAACTACTTTGTCGTAATTTAGAATCTTTCTTGCTAAGGGCCTGGCTACACAGGAGTTGCAGCGGTGGGAACGAAAGGTGGGAATAGTCGCGTAAGGGCCTGGGCCCTAGATAGGTAGGTTCCTACGACATTTTGGACAGTGAGACACAAAAGATGGCGAGCAACATCCATGACTACTCTGTCTCAAGACTGAGTGTAACGATTGAGAAGAAAAGGTAACCAAGGGCATACGGCACTTCCCAGACTACTTACTTACTAACTACTCATGTTTGGAAATAATTCAGCCGGTATCGTTCGTTACAACCGAATGACTGACTACTGCTGAACAAAGGCCTCCCCCAAGGATTTCCACGCAAGGTAAGGGAGATGCCTAGATTCGGGTGGCGCATGTCTGGTCTTTATGTAAATTCTTGGGGGGCCTTTATGTCAGCATACTTATTCTGTGATGTCAGTTGATATACCTACTAATTTTAACGCAGGTATAGTAAGTAGGAGTTTTTGTTTATTACGCTGTAATAATTCGTTCAGGAAAACTGGAAAAGGTTACAAAAACTTTCTAGTTTTTAGTCTTACATCAGTGTATGGATCAGAATACGTCCTATACAGCTCCAGCACAGCGTAGCAGTGTCCGTCTGGCTTGATGACCGGCATGCAGAGTGCCACCTTCGCGTCCACCCACTTCAGGCCCTCGGCGAACCGTCTGTCGCGTTGTACGTCTGGGAGGAGCAGGAACTCTTTGGTGAAGGCCACGTGTGCTGCGGCCACTTTGCCCTCCTCTGAAGGAAAGTGGAATGATAGAGCTTTTTTTTCTATTTACCTACTTCTATAGGGCGCGTTCAAACTGAGCCGATATGCATTGATATTTGCAGACCTGAAGGCCTAAGATGCGCGCCGCGTTAAGCGGTTATCACGCCATTTTATCGATTTTACCCATACATTTTGACGTCGATAAAAGTTATCACGGCGCGCATCATCTTAAGCCTACTGGCGTGAATACCGAATTTTATGATGAGAGGAATATAAGTTGAATAAAACACGGCAAAGAGCTTGCCCAAGATATTTTTGGTGTCTTCATAACAGTCAGGTCAGACTTAATAGAAGTACGCTTTATGTTCCTCATTGCGTTTGTTTTTTTTTAATAAAATAAAATAATATTTTTAAAAATGTTTTACTAACCAATTGGTATGTTCACTTCGTGGCGTTCAGGCATTTTAGTATTATGAGGCATCAGTACGATTTCGTTTTTGACTGGGTCCACTATGTAAACGAAAACGCCTGCAAGAAAATAATAGTGTTTTCACCTTAGGTGGGTTGAGTTCATACGAGGTTCATAGGCGCTTTGATAACTATGATAAAGATTGGTGTGGGAGGTGATGCTCTAAGAAAGAAAGAAACAAGTACAGTCCCACCCAATCGACTCATGAACCTAAGTCCCAAGTAACCTACCTGAGCTGTTAGTAACAGTCTTCAAAACCATAGCAGTTTCGTAAAGAAGGGAATCCAGATCAACCGTGTCCTCTAAGAAGACGTTGAATCTGTTCATGTCCAGATATCTGCCCTCTTTAGCTTCCTCCTCCTTCAAGCCCTTTCTCTCTATCTGAGCATATGGAGCTATGACGCGCCTCGTAACTTTATCCAACTTTTCCGAAGGCACCAAGAAATGGGAGTGCACTTTAGATAAGTTCCCCGAATATAGATTTCTACTCTCACTGTCCTCATTCTGATTGATTGTAGTAAGTCTGCTTTTGGTAGATTTAACGCCCCTTGAATTCGGATCGTACATGATTATTGTTTATTTTGCAAAGAAAACAACTTTATAAAAATGTTGCCTTTATTTGACAGGTGGCATCAATTTGATTGATTTTTATTTCTTTTTCGAAAATTCAACACTGACACATGGATAGATACAGTAAAGGATTTAGCATACAGTTTATATTATGGTATTTGTGACTATGGTAGAGGGATTATTTAGGTTCAAAAAGCTCTAAAACAGTAAACTATTGCAAAAAATGAACAAAAATCTACTGGACCACCAATCCATTTGTGTATAGTAGTCAATGGTAGATCAACTTACAAAAATAACATATTATTATTATCTTATTGGATTTTAAACTTTATAGCTTGAGAATTAGGTACAGAGGAAGCTTTTGTTTTAGTAAGTTGAACTACCAAGTGTGAAATGGTAAATTTTCTTAACGCAGAAGCAGACTCTCATTCATTTAGTAGGTATCTTTCTTTTAAATTCAACCAACCAATCTACAAAATAACAACAATTTTCAGCATTATCAGTCTGATTGTACCTTAAGTTTACATTTTATAATAGAAACTAACAGTTATTATTATTGAAATTAGGTGCCTCTTTAAACTTCATGAATATTTTAGACATAATTCCATTTAATGAAATCACTGCAAAACAAGCTTATTTACATAAAATAGCACACTCACTAAACTTAAATGTGTAAAATGATGCAAATAATAAATAACAGTAAAATCAGTCCTAGATTAGATGATAAAAAAACTGAGAAGACTTGGATGAAAAGCATAATAGGATGCATAATTATCACTATACTATGTATAAACCACTTTTTACAGAATGTCCCAAAAGTCTGCCATATTTACACTTATTTCAAGTTAACCAAAAATCCTCGAGCGGTCACATAATGACCGTGTAACAATTTATCTATCTATTGTGTCTCAATTCATAGGCTTGAAGGCCATTTCAAAACCTATGTATTTGGATAACCTAAATCTTAAAATCTAAGGCCAAGTAATTGGTTTCCTGCTTTTCTTGGATGGAGGACTTTCATCTGCTTCTGTTTTCTGAAAAACAAAATATTGCGATGAACTCTCAAATTCAAACTCTCTTTCACTTTATCTTTACAACTACTAATTTATACACAACTGATTACCCAAAATATAATGCTTACTGAGTCAATAGGTGCCGTTCTTTTCAAAATATTTAAATCTAATGCAGGTTGAGGTTTTATATCAATTTTTTTGTTTTTCAAATTCCCGGAGAACAAATCTGGTGGAGGTTTTAACCTGTCACTTGTTTCTAAATGTACCAATTTCCTATATTGACTGCTATTTATTGTTATTAGCTTGGCCACCGGCTCTGGGCTGGATTGTCTAGCCTTATTCAATATTCTCCCGCGCCCAGTATCCCTGTACTTCCGCTGACCGTAAGGCAAACAGAATTGATGGAAAATATCCAATAGTTCATATCTTGCCATGCTCTCGAGGTTCGAAATGTTAAGACGCCTCTGTAAAACAGTAAAAAGTAAATAAATAACACAGAACTCAGTGGATACCGAGTGTGTACTGTACACTGTTATCACAACAACATGTTACCTACTTCTTTGATTATGTATAAAAGCTGTTCATTGCTTAATAACTCTGGATGTAATAACATTTCACATGATACGGCCATTGTTTTAACTTAATTACATTACACAATTGGTTTAAAAATAAAATAGTTTCATTCTTCTTTGGCGGTTTGGTTATTTACAATCGCCATTTTGACAGTGACAGTACTGACAGAAAACATATGTTTAAAAAAATAATAATTTCGATGATTCCTTAATGCGATTAATTTGTATTTGTTATATTTTAATTTAAATCAATTATATTAAAATAACTAAATGAAAAGCATACAAATATTTACTCGTGACTTGACCAAACGTTAAAATAATTTAGAGTACTTTAAAATAGTGATGTTTCAGTAAATAACACACTGCGTAACGTTAACGTTATTGAGTAAGGCTGGGCACGGGCTGGGTGACATATTACTTTAATTTTAACAAACGTCAAAAGTCTGTCAAATTCCATACAAAAAACACCAGATAAGGTTATAGTATACTTACGGTTAAAGTAAAGTGGTGCAACTCAGCTAAGTATAATAAGTAATAACAATAACTGTCAAGTCAAAAGTCGGTATGTGCCTCCACAACCGTAAATCCGACAGTTGTTAATTATTTAGTTAGTTTCAATGATGACTCGTTCGTGGTACAACAATGCCAAATTATAGCCTTCACTCTAGCGCTTGCATGAAGCTACTTCGCTCCGTGAAGAGTAGGGATTCCATTTCCGTAGCGATCAAAAACCATGTCTTATCTAGGGTTTCAAATTACATATTTCGTTCTGTTATTTATTTATTATTAAAATAAACATGTTCTAAAAGAAAAGAAGGAGCTTTTTTATCTATTACTTACTCTTCTGATGCGCGTATTCACAAAAGTAAAGAAAAGTGTGTAGGCATTTCTGTCAAATAATAAACATATGATCAAAAATATTTTTACTGAAACACGATATAATATCTAAACAGAATAAAATTAAATAATGTGTAACGTATTCTCGTTATTATTTACCGTCGTTACTTAAAATAACATTAAAAATAACTGTGCTGCATTGCACCTCACTAGTCACATTGGGTGTCCGTCTTTCTGTCACACACAGTTCGTTCGGTGCTGCTGTCATTTGTGTGCTTCGATTGTTTGCGTTACTATTTTCCTAATGTTTTATTTTGGACTCTCGTAAGCGTTTTACTCGCGATAAGTTTACACAATTTGCAATAGTTTAATTAATTTAAATTTTCCTATCTGCGCTTCGCATTCGCCAGTAGTTCCGTGTCGTCGCGATATTATTTTTCAAGTTTTATTTTCAAAATAAACCAAACAGTGTAAATATTTTATTGTTTCTGAATAATACATCGGAAAAGGGGGCAGTGTGGTGTGATTAATTCGCAAATGCCAATCGTTGTTAAAGTATCGATGACAAAATTCGATCGGAACAGTGTGAAACCGCGGTGGGAGTATGTTGTTTCTGGGTGCCTTAGCGATCGGTATGGTGACTGGCCTGCAGAATGTCACGACAGAGCTGGCAGTCAGTGAGGTTACGGAGGTGGGTGCGGAGGGAGTCACGAGCGAGATGGGTTTATTGGAGACGACGCGGTTGTCGGATTCGGCAGGCGGTGATTTCGTGAACGTGACAGTGCAGGAGCGGCCGTCGATGTGGGACATGTACTTGAACCACTGCCCGAAGTGGCGCCCGATCAACCATGTGTTTTTCCAAGTGGCGAATATATTTTTTCTGCTGGCGTTTTTGGCGCCACACACCCCGAGTGGGTTGATATGGATGCGGGTGGGATTGGTTCTTGGCTGCGCGTTCCTCGGCGTTTGGGGCTGGAGTGTGGAGTGTTACCTGGATGCCGTGCTGTGGAACGGCGCGTTCATTGTGATAAACTTTGTGTACTTCTCAGTGCAGTTCTATTTGTTGAGGCCGATCAAGTTCCACAAGGACATTGAGGAGGTGAGTGCTGCTCATAGTTTTAGTTATTGTATTTGAGGTAAATGTAAAGAAACCCTCATTTTTGTTGCCATTTCAATTGGGGCCGGACTGTGAGCTTTGGGGGCCCTGGACTAATACTACTTAGGGGCCTACCTAATTACTCAAAGTACCTATAGAAAAAAATAAGACAGTAAAATATTTTTTTTTACTTGACTTAGCTGGCCCAAGGATTCAAGGGGACCCTGGGCTAAAGCCCAAAAAACATATGGTAGATCTGGCCCTGATTTGAAGTGAAATCTTATTATAATTATGATTTAAACAAGAGATACAAAGGCCTACTACGGATCTGGGATAAAGGTCCATAACCTTTATCAACAAACCTCACATAAATATTGGAATGTCATTTAACACTATCACTGCCTGTTTCTAATGAGTAGGTAAGTAAATACTAATTAACATTAGATTATGCTAATACATTTTTCAGTTATCTAACTAGATTATCAATAATGCCAAGCTAGGTTTAATTTTATTATTTTTGTTAATTAATTTGCAAATCAAACATGTGATGTAAATGTGCCAGCTTAATGGGATTTGTGTTATCACTTTTCAAACATCACATACATCTTCGCAAAGGATGTCGCCTGATAAGCAAATTTGTGCAAACTGTGCTGCACAAAATAACTGGGTTATTTTAAAACCCTTGGATAGGCTGCCATTAATAATTAATAAGATAAAGAAAATGTGTTTTCTACACCATTGTATTTTATAACCCTGCATCACTATTTCTTTCCAAGGCTTAAACTTGAATTATTCACCAAGTCAGTCATGTCTCATTACTTGCTTTAATATCATAAACAATCATAATTCGTTCTGTGTCCTTCCTTTACATGTCCATAAAGCATCAGCCTTATAGAACCAGTTGGCCATTTACAAAAAGCCTACCAAATAATCAAACCTTGAGATAAAACAATATTTAAGACCATCATCTCAGGTATAAAGATGCAAACATGCACATAACATTTACACACGTAAATACGCCTTATTTACGTTTATTAAGGTCAAATAACAAAACGCGTTTATTCCGAGAATTCATACAAAGTAGTGATTATAAAGAAATAAAAAGAACATAAAGGCCATCGACTGGCGTAGTCGCAAAATCGGCTAGGCCGGTTTGTCGAAAGTCGAGTATGTAAATCGATTTGTCATCTAATGTTCTGGGGTTATTGCATTTTAAACACACGCGATGTGTTATCGGTCGATTGCTGTTCTAAATACCAGCGGGGGTATGCACTTGGTATCGCGGAAGAGTTTCCATTCGCGAAACGAACGAAAGTTTTATGGAAAAGGCGCCACTGCCTTTTCTAAGACTGTCTTCACTTTTCTATAAAAACTTAAGAACACGCAATTAAATCCTCATTCCTCGTACTTCCTTCTTCATCGGAGTCCTTAAACTGCCATCAATTATCTGTTTTATTCTGACTAACTTGTTGTTGTTGACTCTTTCCTCACTATCGAGATAAGCAGCATAACGTATCTTTTCGAAAGCAAACGACTAAACTCATCATCAATATCTTCACCCACATCGTTAAACGCGGAGTAAATGCACTCATTTATCTTCTGCCAGCTAGTTACGTAGGATTCCTTGATAAGTGACGATGTTAAAAGCGCCATTCGTCAGGTATACCCATTAAAACTTGTACATGTTCCCCCAGGGAGGACTCTATGTATACATATTAGGAAAAGACTAAGAGACGAAAGAGAATAACACCGGGTTATTCTTTGCAGCCTTAGCTTATAGCCTAGGCGAACAATGTCGTAAAACTTGTTCCTTTGACTGGCCTAGAATTTCATGTTCCTCAAAATCTAAGTCTATAACTTCAAGACCCAGCATACGTCCCTGTTGAACTCCAAGTTGACATATCAGATTGTTTGTCTCGTGAATGAATCATATTGGTTTCGAAAGCTAATAGACTTGGAGTAAGCACGCGGCGCTGCGTGCTGCAAGCTAAGCGATACCGTGTCTCAAGTGACGAGCACAAGAATTCTGGCAATATCCACCAGCTTGTTTCGAAAAGGGTCCCTATTCCATTTTCTTAAAGATCAAAAGCAGTATTAAAAGATGCTTCTAAATGTGACCGATCTTTGAAAACAAATATCTGGGTCACTCAATAGATGTTTGTTATCAACAAAGATGGAGCACTTTTATTGAATGAAACCCTTTGTTGATATCAATTCTGTATTCATAAATAAGGATACGAGACTTGATATCAAAAATGTAAAGAAAGGTCGATGTCTTTATAACGGTGTAGATAAAGATATTTAACCCAGTTTTCTGTTAAACTTTGTGCCAGTCCCGCGTATACCAATTCTTTAGACCACACGCTGCAGGGCGCCGCATTCAAGCCTAGATTGCATAACGAATCAGTTCGGCTCTAGGCGCAAACACATTCAGCCTTACTTATAAACGTTTATTAAAATTAAGACACAGTTTAACAGTCTATTAAATAATATCTTCACTTATAAACGATCATTAGTGTTAATCAACGTCTTAGTGACTGCTTAAATAACTGTCAAGTTAAACAGCGTCCGACCCTTGTTTAGAGCCCTAATTACCAAAATGGCGGATCATAAAGTTAACAGCTGATGCGTGACGTGCCATGCAACGCGCTGTTCTGTTCGTTTGTGTTTGTTTGTGAAGTGAAATAATTTTATTAAAATGGATTTATTTGAAGACGATAATGTGTTACACACATACCAAAACGACATTGAAGAAATAAGCAATTTCAGAAATATCGGTTTAGGGAGAAATAGAAGACCAAAAGTGTATAATTCAAGAGCTAACCCAATGGAGGAATTGAGTGAAAATGAATTTAAACATCGTTACAGATTTAGCAAAGAAAATATGGAAAAAATTATAAACATTTTAAGAAATGATTTGTCCGTGGATAGCCGGGGCGGCAGTATACCTGTGGAGTTGCAAGTAATGGCAGTTATCAGATACTGGGGCCGCCACGAGGTTAGTAGTTAGCAACGAACCGACCAAAATGATTTCTTTAAGAACCTTCGCTAATAAGGAATAGGTATTAATCAGAAAATTGTTATATTTTTAGATTCAAGAAGACTGTGCCGAAATCCATGGTATGAGTCAGCAGACATTATCAAGATTATCCAAAAGAGTTGCTATTGCATTGGCCTCAAAAAGTCCCATTTATATTAAAATGCCTTCAAATTTAAGAGAAGAAACAGAAACCATTCGAAAATTTGAAGCAATTTGTGGTTTCCCACATATTACTGGAGCAATAGATTGCACTCATATTAAAATAAGAAAAGTTGGAGGAGATGCTGGTCAGTACTATGTAAACCGGAAAGGACAGTATTCAATAAACACTCAAGNTTTACGAATATTTACGGCGCATGAAACAAAATGATTCACTTGGGGCAGAGAAAAAAAAAGTTATATATTTAGACGAAACCTGGATCCACGCTCACTATACTGTCAAAAGTTGTTGGCATTCTGCTACGGATGTTGGAGTGAGAAAGAACGATAGCCCTGATCGCCGCTGGATTATACTTCACGCTGGAAGTGAATCAGGATTTGTGAATAACGCACTTTTGATGTTTAAAGCAGATACAAAAACCGGTGATTACCACAACCAAATGAATTCCAAAAATTTTACAAAATGGTTACAAGAAAAACTAATACCAAACATACCACCTACATCGAGTACATATGGAACCTCATAAAACAAAAGAGTTTAGGACAAGAATGTTGAACAGTTAGAGAGTAAAATAGAAGCATTAACTCTGGAGGCTTTGCAATCATTACACCTGAAGATTGGCAAAAGCAGGTAAATCACGTAAAGAGACTCGAAGAAGAATACTGGCGTAAAGATAGGTTGATTGACGACTTGTTCATCATCAACAGAGAGCACAGATAGCGATTCAGATATGACGTCAGAATCAGACTCAGAAACCAATTCCGAATCTGATGTAAATGATATGAGTGGAGTTGAAGAGTTTGAGTAGGTTTTTTAATGTTACTTTTTATGATCCAATAAATGTTTAAATATTCAAATATGGTTTTATTTATCAAAATCTATTAGATTACTTAATTTTAATTACTAAACGACCTATCGTGTATAAAAATAATTTATTAATGGCAGATTTAGGCCTATATGAAAACTTTTTGGAGCATGCCCGCGTTACGGAGACTATTTTACATGGTCGGCGTATGGCTCTTCGGAACTTGGAAATGCTATAACCATGTCCAAGGATATTTATCGTTAATCCATTAATTTTTGTTTAAGGTTGTGACGCGCCCCGCGACGCATCGACAGCCCTAGCACCGAGCNCACTCAAGTAAGTAATATGTTTTGTGTTGTTTGGTAGAGAACAATTTAAATAGAAGTGAGGTACAGGACTTCTTAATATGGCTGACTTTGATAATAGTAATATTAAACTAATTTACAGGTTGTGTGCAATGCTGATTTAAAGATTTGTGATATTGTTTGCCACTGGAGAGGTAGCACCCATGATGCAAGAATTTGGCGTGAGAGTTCCATAAAAAGGAGATTCGAAGATAATGAATTTATGGGGAAACTTTTAGGTGACAGCGGTTACCCTTGTACTCCTTACTTGCTTACCCCAGTACTAAGACCAAGAACTGAATCAGAGCAGCAGTACAATTATAGCCACATTCGCACAAGAAATGTCATAGAAAGATGTTTTGGTGTATTGAAGCAACGGTTTCGAATACTGCTAGAAGTTATGAGAGGATCACTCAGCACAATTAAAACTACAATTGTAGCTTGTGCAGTACTGCACAATTTAGCAATAGATTTCAAAGAAAATTTAGATTATGGTGAGTAAAAAAAATGAAAATATTAATATTACCGTGATTCTGTTTACTTCACACAAACTACTTGGGTTCTATTTTTTTTTCAGATTCCACTTTCAGCGACCACAATGTAGACACTGAGGCCATTGAACAGGGTTCCAATAACATAGCCCATATTACCAGAAACATATTTATTGAAAATTACTTTTAATGATAATTAATACAGTTTTATTTAAAAACAGTTTTATCTAATTCATTTTTGAATTTTATTTCCCAATATTTCTGTTCAAAATCTAAAATTATCATTCTTTTTGTATGCAGTTCCTCTTCTCGTTTTTCTCTATGTTCTTTTGATTTTTTTGTAAGTAAAAACAATTCCTCTTCATAATCATCTGCAATCTGAAAAAAAAAATACAAGATTGATCACAAGAAACTCAAAAAAGTAAAAGTTTCAGAAATAAGTACTTTGACAAATCCATTCAATCCTCTAAATAGAATAGCCAATTATTGATTTAGGTAAACCCTGTGATTAAGTTGGATTACCTTAATTTCCTTTTTTTTTGGTTTGTATAATTTTCTTCGCATAATATTTTTCTTTTTTAAAATAGAGTTTGATGTTGACGCTATTGGTGTTAACTGTAACACCTTTTCTTCCGCATCTTCAAGAGGATTTGATATCTGTAAGAGCATAAGAATGGATATTTTATCATATTAAATATATTAAGATGATATTTCAGGTATGCATACAGTAGTATCCTTTTCCTACCCTGATTGCATAATTATTCTGCCTATATTTTTCCTAACCCGGTGCGGGATGGTAAAACTAGCGAACCATAGGGCTCTATTAGTAAATAAATAATGGATAACAATACCTGAATCGATTTCTCAGAATCTATAATAATCTCACTATCAGAGGTTGATACAAGTACTTCAGTCACTTCTGATTTTGACGGCAGTTGCACCTTTTGAGTTGCAGGCGACTGTGACTGCAATAGAAAATATTTTTAAATAAATATACAATAAATAGTTTGGGTATATAATAACTTTGGTTGAGTATATAATACAAAACTATACACACCTGTTCCATTTTTTTAATAAATATACTGTCGCTATCAAAAGCGTTGCTATCGACCACAAACTCATTTGGTAAAATTTGAATTATTTCCATATCTTCTTGGGACGGACTTGGTGGCGGAGGTCCTCCTCCTGTCATGAGCCTGGCTCGTCTATACTCAGACTCTCTACTCTTTACTTGGCCTTTTGTGTTACGCCATTGTGTAATAATTTGAGTCATATCCCTTTTTTTCTTGTTAAGGCTATTAAAACTGTAAAAAAGGCAAATTATTTTATATGAGGAATATTATTTCAACGTAATTATAGATAACTAGCTTTCCGCCCGCAGCTTCGCACGCGTGAAATTTCGTTTGTCACAGATCGTCATAAATTATAGCCTATATGTTATTCTGGATTATGAACAATAATACTGTAAAGTTTCATCAAAATCCGTTCAGTGGTTTTTGAGCCTATTCATTACAAACATACAAAAATAGGTACAAATCTTTCCTCTTTATAATATTAGTATAGATATAGATAAATATCATAAAAATTAAAGTGTTACCTAGACAATATCTCCTGCCAAGCAGCTTTCTTCTCTGCATGCGTATTTGTAGTGCAGTCTTTCTTCTCGACTACATCAATTTTTTCCATAATAAGTTGCCTTAATAGTTTCTGCAAGAAAGTAACAAGATTAAATTATAAATCATTGTAAGATTTAAACAGGTATTTTGATGACCAGCTGCGGTAGCAGCTAGACAAAATAGTAAATACGTACTAAACTTCAATATAAAATATGAGTAGGCTCATAGTCCAGCAGTGGACTGTAAAGGGCTGTTGATGATGATAAAATATGAAAATACTTCAGTGTGGTAAATACCTTTTCGTCTTCATCCCAGTTTGAAGATCGGACTCTTTTCTTGGTTGATTTAATTTCCATGTTTTGATGTTCCATTTTATGATTGCGGAAGAAAAGTCGAACGAAAAATACCACGCACCAAACCACGCACCACGGGAACCACCACTAACACCACTGTCGGCGTTCTATACTCGGGTTGCAGGGTTTGTAGGTTTTTATATAGACTTGTGAGACGGTAATAAATTGTGTAAGCGCGGCTGAGCTTTCAAGGCGTCTAACCGGTACCGAGGTTGCGTACTGACTGACTAACGAAACATTGGTTTTCCTCTCGACGGTCGGCAGTCTTTTCAGGTAACAAACGTAAAACAAAGTGAAAATAACACGAAGATACACACAAAACAATTAGCGTGAAACACATGGCAAAGGTGCCATAAACATAATACAAAGTGAAATTATAACAATAGATTACAACGATTGGTGTTTCACTTACAATAACTAATTCAATGGACTAATAATACACCAAATGTTACGTCGGCGAAACACTAAAAAGATTTGAGTTAAACATTCCGACAATAAAATTGTAAAAGTGCAGATGCGTGAGAAACTAAAATTACCATGCTTTAAAATCAACACGCAATCATCTAGTGTACCTATATTAAAATTAATTGGTACATAATAAGGCGTACGTGGGACATAGTCGCCACAGTACTTTTGTTTGTTTGTTGTTGTAGACTTGACAGTTCCGTTTGACATAACTTTGACGTTTATTATTCTTAATTTTCGCATTGGCTATCTGCATTTTGGCATTAGAACTGGTCTGAAGTTCGGTTTAGGTGGAGTAAAAAAAAAAAAACCCTAATTAACAGTTGATTAGTTAAGTGACGCTTGAGCAGTGTTTATAAGTGAGAAATAGTTAATTACTAATTAAGAAGTTAATGAGTCATTAGTTAATTAGTTGCTTAGACGTTGATTAGTTGATTTTTATAAGTAAGACTGATTGTCTATATCCCGAAGCACGTATCTTGCCCTCGAATGGGCTACCCATTAGCTGATATACACCAGCTTAATAAGCGCTATCTACTTAATCTTGGTCGGAAATGGCACATCAATCTACTAATCACTACAAAAACAACGGTAGGCAATTCTCGAAGCATAGGTACCAAACTTGGAACAGTATCGAAAAAGCTGATTAACATTTCTGCCGACGCCAAATGTAATCCGGCCCGGCTTCCATTAAAATTTATTTTCGATCGTTCGCCAAGAATCACTAAATACCTACCATTTATGGACCGACATTTTTGTCTACTACGTTTTTAGTCGTCGACCTATTAGACTTCAATCCATCCACTTTTGGGTCACCGCAGCTTAGCGGTTATGTTATTTTGTCGTTTGATGGTCGCAAAATTATTTATTTCGAAAAGGCTACCTACATGGACGTAATCTCGAAGGGTCGGTAATCCGTCCTTTTAGTTTACGATCCGAGGTCCAATATTTTTATGTTCTGTCCTTGACACTATTTCCTCGCAAGTTTTTACTTGCTAACAATGAATGGACCGTAAAATCTTGGATCTTTTCAAGATAGGTTATCTTCGGTTTAAATTGAGGGTTTTGTGTTAATGGCTTTACTTTTTTTTATATTATTGGGACTCGCGGTATTTGTAAGTACCTTTTATTTTGTATGTGTCTTTATTTTGTATGTGTCTTTATTTTGTATGTTTCTGTTCTTTGTTATTGTTGGTGAAACATTGAACAAGATTGTATCAGCTTTTGTTTTCTTTTGCAGTCTGTGCAACCTTAATTTAATTTCTGTTTTTTGTTTGGTTTGAAGGTGCGGATGATTGATCACTTTACACCCTATTTATTCTTTTACGATTAGTCGTATCGCCGTCCTTTCAGGGATCAGGTCAGTGGGGCAAGACGGTGTGAACGCCCTTTCTGACGGTGACGTCATCGTGCCACTCGCTCGCAACTTGCTAGCGTATAAACATAGTCGGTTTCATACTTCATTGCTAACCAGTTAAAGCGACTTTCGTCCGTGTAAAGGCTCATTGTCTCCACTTTAAATTATTGTTCTTGTCCAGGAACAAATGATTTGCCATTAGAATGATAACGTCTCTATCCTTAGATTTGATTTCAACGAACTTGTTTTGCTTGTGTTCCCTTTGGCATTTAAATTGATTTACATGTTAATCAGAATTCCATGAATTATATTCCTGGTATTTCTGTGGAACTTTAAGATTTAACTAAGCTTCTATTTTATCATTTTGCAGTCCGTTTAGGACCACGTTGTGTATCAATCGAAATTATTTATGAGGGAGAGGTCAGTCGGCACGCTAAAGTTGAAATTTTAGAGCTTTAACAAACGCATTCAATCTCAAATGCACGTGTTGTGCCAACTCTAGGTTGTTTACATCATATTCACGGAACGATCGAATGCACAATCTGCATTTATTTGGCAATTTGATCTTTATTTTTTAAACAATAAGGAAAGGGTTGTGCTCGCAAAAACTGCAGGCCTATGCCGCTCGGACTTGGTTCTCAGAAACGTAAAAAGTATTGATTTTATGCAAAGCTATTTGCTTGCACCCTAAATTTGATGGCTGCGTCGCGTAGACGCGTTTCTTCACTCATTTCTTTCTTTTAATAATGTTGTAGACAACTCTTTTGTTGTGAAGCCAAGTTGGTTAGACAAGCGCTCGCAACTTCATCCCTGGAAAATTTAAGTTTAAATGAGGATACTCTTCGCCGCAGATTCTATAAAGGCCTATGCAATATACATTTTCTGTGACCGACTTTGTGTCACTTACAACAGTGAAGTTTTCCAATTCAAAATACACGCTATATTTCAGGATTTTCAGACTCGTGAGAATTTCAATGGTGAAATTGTCAAAAACCACTAATAAACTAAAATGTTGTGTTTGGTATTCTTTTTGTATTTTAATCTTGTCGTTCTACGATACCCGAAATCACATTAAATATCGGCGCAAAATTGCAAATTAACTTTGAGAGCATCAATAGGGCAATTATTATCACTTCAGTAAGTCAAAAGACTTAATTAATTCTTGAGCCTGCAAATCCCGCTCCGACATTTCTAGTCCCTCATCGATCGTGTCTGCTCAATGAGGGCTATCGTTTTAGCGCTCACCAGTTAGCGCCACTGTAGAGTTAGGTCCTGTCACTTGCTAGTAGCGAAGACAATGGCACCAACTTGTGAGCGCTAAAGTGGTAGGAGGACTATCGCATTTTCACTCATCAAAATGGCGCCACTGTAGAGTTAAGGTCCTGTCAATCGCCAGGGGTGCCAACTGTTAAGTATAAAAACGATAGCCCTCATTATTACAGCTATCCTTGTTTTTCTACCTGATGAGATCTCTACCTGAGTTGTCTATCCCGCAGCAATGGGAATCGAGTAACTGATTGTATTAGCATCGAATCGCAAACGGTTATTGTGGTTTGCGGACTTTGCGGTTTTGTCCGCTCTCAACCAACGGGTGTTTAAATCCCACTAGCGTGTGTGGTGGATTATAAAAGGGTGTAGAAAGCCTAGTTTAAACAATGACAAAAACATTTCATAGTCGGTTTGCTTAGTTCGGTTTCTATATCGGCCGACTCCGCTTCGTCACGTTCACTTAATCTTGATTTTTTAAGCAATTTGATTTTTTTGCTGCTGTGAGACCTGCTTTAATAAAAACTACATAAACAGTTAAAATTGTGTCATAAATCATACTTGTAATAGGTAAGTTTTTGCAACCAAAAACATGCTGTCAACTGCATAGTGCACATGCAAACTTAGCTCTACCATACATATCTGCAGTTAAGGAACCCAGTGTCGGGATAGGATAGGTACTGCTGAGTGTCTATAGACTAATGATTAAAAGATGCTCCTATAGGCAGACTGTGGCTGTACAGTGTTTCCCTGTAGGCTGTCCAGCCTTGTACCTATAAGTTCTTCAAGTCTTATCCAAGCAATGATGCTTCTACCAATTGAGCTAGTGTTAAAACTTCATGCATCGGTGAATTCCACCTTTGTGAAGGACGACCCCAAGCGGTCGTAAAATTACAATTTGTGATCACTGATCAGTGAACAGAAAGAAATGAGTAATAGGTACTATTCGAGGGCTATTAAAACTAAAATGCGGCGTGACCGTTTTTCTAATCAATAGCCTCCAAACGAATTCATAAAAAGCCAGACTTCATCAAGTATGATCAAGAGCTGAGTAAGTATCTTAAAACATCTGTGTCTGGGAAAAATGTTTTCAGTCTAATATTTTTATCAGTTTTGCTGACACTGAAATGTGCAGCTTCATTTAAATATCCTGGAAGTTTGGAACGAACTATTCACAGTTTTGTTGGATCAAGTTTAAGATGTATATTTGCGATCTACATTAGACTTTCGAACGTCAAGGAATTTTAATATGAAAGTTTTTATACATAGAATCTCAGCTTAATATTGTTTTAGAAGGTTAAAATATGTAATAATAAGTTATGCATGATCGTAACCTGCCACAAAACTTCATATTTCCAGTTTTCCACAGAATTAGTATAGCCATATTGATGTTGTGAGCCTTTTTTGGTGAAAGCCATTTCTTCTACTTTAAACCACACGAACCCACAGCTAAAAAAGATAAAGTTTTTTTGACATAACATTTGAATATTTTCATAATCATTTTTGTTACAATCCAGTTATTTAGTGACTATTTGCACAACATCAAATACCTTTCCAAGGCTAGATCCACGTGAAACAAAACAGAATCCCTAAAAGGTTTTGAAGGACACAACATTGTTAACGTTTCGGCGAAACCTGTAAAAGATCTAATTAACTCTGAGAAAGGTTATATTCAACAGAGAGAAAACCTTGTCCCCGTCAGACTTTATAATTTTACATGGTTTTGTTAGAAAATAGCACGTATTCCAACTACATAAGATGCCATAGTGCGTAGCTTGATGTGTCGCCTGTACTTTGTGTCATTAGCGACAGTTAGGCCCGACATACACGGACAGCTAGAAGTAACGTCGACAGCTTCAAGCTGCGACTGCATAGCAAACTATGTACAGTATTCTACGTACACAGATACACGGAACCGCTCGAGCATTTGTGACTGCTAGTTGTTTCGCGGTAAAGAAGTCACCAAGCATACACTGACTGTTCTTTCGATTGCTCTCGCGCAGTTATCTCCGCACTCTTCATTCCACGTCGCGTTCGCTTGTAACTCGTTATCAATGGTAGCTCCAAGCTGATGACGGCAAGAGCTGTCCGTGTACGTTGATCATAAGCTTACTCGAGCTGTACTTTTCATTCCACTTCGCGTTCACTTGTAGTAACTCTTTTAACAGTTAATACCAACTGCTCCAACAGTTATCATATCAATGGCAGCTCCAAGCTGACCGTGGTCCGTGTATGTTAATCACAGGCTAACTGCTCGAGCAGTCCGTGTATGGCGGGCCTTAGCTGAAAACACGGCACATTGGCACCTTATTGCAGGCCTGCTCATCGCGGGTGAATAACGACGTATTAATAGGTGCTATAAAAGTGTTATAACTTTTTTCATGCGCCCCTGCTGACTAGCTGTTGCCCGCGGCTTTGCACGCATGGTATCGGGTTTTTAATACAATGTGAATTTAGTAAAAGGCAAAGTTGTCTGTAAGTTGAATTTTCATGTTACGCGACTTTAAAACAACTTTTCATCATAATTTGCAATGCTTTTCTTTCATTGATGTAGTACACTGTCTTCTGAAGCAGTTTGATCTTTGTTACATTACATCTGTGTTTATTTATTATTCTGTAGATTGCTAACTCCCCTGTTTTCAATAGAATCCAGATGTGACTTTA